ACCCGCTGATGTTTTGGCAAGGAGAAGATGATATTATTTTAATATTAAAATGAAAAATCCATGAATGGAGAATCAGTAATCATAATTTAAGGTCATTTATTGTGTGAAAGACTCCGCTTTAAAATAAAGCTTTTTAAAAATAATCAATGTCTGTATTGTTTGCCTTAAAAATTTGCCTATAAAATGAATAATTTTCAAATTTTAAATTTCAGGCGAAGAAACTACAAAAATGTTAGCTCAATGAATTATTACGCATATCGTTTGATGATTCGTCATAATGCTGACAACTATTTGCTGCGGTTTCGTCGATTGTTTCAGCAATATTGCGTTGACATGTATGTAAAAATAGAAACGGAACGTTTAAATTTCATTAGTTCAACCAAGCCAAACTGCGTTCTGAGGAGTACATCCATTTACGTGATGCAGTTAGTACTGAAGGAAATGCAGCTAATATTGGCCGATTACTATTCTGCCGGCGACATACATTGGTAGCCCACGACATATGCATGAATATGCACAAGATGCAATGACATATGTTCGTCATTACGGTCGACCAGATCTTTTCATAACTTTTACCTGCAACCCAAAATGGATAGAAATTACTGAATTGCTGCTTCCCGGACAAACATCAAGTGATAGGCACGACATTACAGCACGTATATTCAGGCAAAAAAATTCGGTCCCTGATGAACTTTATTGTTAAAGAGCGCGTCTTTGGAGAAACTCGATGCTGGATGTATTCAATCGAATGGCAAAAGCGAGGCTTGCCACACTCACACATTCTTATTTGGTTAGTGGAAAGAATTCAGCCTGACCAAATAGATGATATCATATGTGCCGAGATTCCTGATTATGAAGTCGATCCAGACCTACATGATGTTGTTACTTCTAATATGATTCATGGACCGTGTGGTGCCATCAATCCCCAATCACCTTGCATGGTCGATGGAAAGTGCTCTAAACGATATCCACGGAAATTAACAGCGGAGACTGTCACTGGCAATGATGGTTATCCGCTGTATCGTCGTCGATCACCAGATGACAACGGTCAAACTGTCACAACGAAAGTGAAAAGAATGGATTTCGTTGTTGACAACAGTTGGATTGTTCCATATTCGCCACTCATTTCTAAAACGTTCAAGACGCATTGCAACATTGAATACTGTAATTCAGTTAAGTCCATCAAATATATTTGCAAATATGTCACGAAAGGCAGTGATATGGCTGTTTTTAGATTGCAATCCTCGAATGACAACGATGAAATTTCACGCTATCAAGTTGGTCGTTATGTGAACTGTAATGAAGCGATTTGGCGTATATTCGCATTTCCCATTCACGAACGTCATCCTACTGTTATGCATTTGGCGGTGCATCTGGAGAATGGTCAACGAGTATATTTTACGGTTTCAAATGCTATGCAACGTGCTGAAACACCTCCAGCAACTACATTAACCAGTTTTTTTGCAATTTGTCAAAGAGATCAGTTTGCACAAACTTTGCTTTACTCGGAGATGCCACGTTATTATACTTGGAATGCTTTATCGAAGAATTTTCAAAGACGGAAGAAAGGCAATGCGGTTCCTGGGTATCCAGATGTGCGTTCTACTGAAGCTCTTGGTCGAATGTATACAGTTCATCCAAAGAATATTGAATGTTTTTATTTGCGGCTGTTGCTGGTAAATGTGCGTGGGCCAACGTCATTTGAGTCACTACGAACTGTTAATCATGTAATATTTCCAACATATCGTGCTGCATGTGAGGAATTGAAATTATTAGAAAACGATAGTCATTGCGGAACAAAGTTCGCCGGGTCAGCTAGTTAACTATAATTCATATTGTCCATATATATAAAACTGTTTGAACATCTAACAAAATTTTCGACAAAAATTTTTCTATCTAAGGGTTCACAGTTCGAAATTTTCCCAGACTTTTGTCTTGACGATTCACACCGTAACCCGGAGCGACGCCTCGCCGCAGGTCAAAATCACGTCGCTTGGGACTCAGTCGAATACTTACGCTGTGGCCGCGCGCCTTATATAGGGGAATAGGTCGTGTCGAGTGCAATGCGAGCAAGCTCAGGCTAAAGTACGCTATGTTGTTCGGGCGGGTACGGATATCATTCCCCGGTGTAGTTTTTACATCATATTCGATACTTTTAGTCTGTCAATGATATATTAGCGTAACTTTTAATAATGTTGTGAGCCACATCTAGAATTATATACCCCGTATATATTCGGATGCTGGTTTGCGGCTATAGATAACTGGTGGTAGGATCATTCGTTTTTAAACGTTCGATCAGAGAGAGTTGAAATTATTTGGGTCTGCGGACCGCAAATATGAAATGTATATATTTTAATAATATAGAATTTTACAAATTGACTACGGTCAAATATATGTGAATGTAGCAGAACTAGCAAAGCTTCTCGCAGCGATGGTCTTTCGTTTTATGAACGTTTGATCGGAGCGAGTTGAAATTATTTGGGTCTGCGGACCGCAAATATAAAATCTATATATTTTAATAATATAGGATTTTACAAATGGACTAAAGTCAAATAGATGGGTGGTGCAGCAGAACTGACGAAGCTTCTCGCACCGAGGATCATTCATTTATGAACGTTCGATCGGTGCGAGTTAAAATTATTTGGGTCTGCTGACCACAAATATGAAATCTTGTGATTACTCGACAAATTATTGCTGTAATCAAGTGCGCTCCTATAGTACAATATACTGTGGGCAAAAGCTTCTGGCAATGATCATTTGTTTCATTAACGTTTGACCGGAGCTAGTCGCAAAATATTGCGCAGTGTGCAAAAGCAGCGTGACGCAGTTTACAACCGCTTAGCGTTCTTATGCATTGTGTGAGAGCACTGCCATGTATATCTGCTCGGTATCGCCAGATGCCTGAGCGAATGACGAAGTTCGTTGTGAAAACGGCGTTCTTTTTGAATATTATACTTTAAACGCATAGCTCAATCAATTCTTTGGGCGCTAGATGAAAGTCTAGTGTTTTAAAGTCGATTGTAGTAAACGCTTGCGTTAGTATTCTATATACTCTGCACATTTTATTCAAATTGTGCGAATTTGAACATTCGCTTCATTGCGTTGTTTTAAGAAAATGAAAAATCAGCGAAAGCAGATTTTTCAATCTCACACACAGTGAAATATTCATATTTCAATTTTGAAACGAGATTTTGTATCTCGGACCGAAACGCGAAAGCTTTACGGTGTACTAATTGTAACCCTAATAATCATACTAGTTTCAGAATCGCCCGAGTTATTTTAAACGATTTCGAGGGAAACACGATCGAAACATGTATAAATATATATAAAATCACCCTGAACGGTGGATCACTTGGCTCGTGGGTCGATGAAGAACGCAGCTAATTGCGCGTCGACATGTGAACTGCAGGATACATGAACATTGACATTTCGAACGCACATTGCGGTCCTCGGATACTGTTCCCGGACCACCTCTGGCTGAGAGTCGTATAACATTACCAGACTGCCGCTTGCTTTAAACGGCTTGCCGGCGAATGATGGAGTTTCGCGTATATGCGTGCTCTTAAATAATTCACTCAACGTGTGAGCCAGTCTACTTTGCAACATCGGACATTTCCGTTCGTTGACGTTCTGTGGGATTACGGCGGGTTGTGTGTCCTAGAGATTTTATATTCTTGCGACCCTCCCAATAACCGGAAACCCGAACTCTTCGAAAGGTTTCGTTCCGGCAAATTTGGACGATTCAAAGGTTCCTCGTCGATTTTGTGTGCGCTTGCTTACTAACGTTTGCAAGCACATCATAATCATAATACGACCTCAGAGCAGATGAGATTACCCGCTGAATTTAAGCATATTACTAAGCGGTGGAAAAGAAACTAACTAGGATTCCCTTAGTAGCGGCGAGCGAACAGGGAAGAGCCCAGCACTAAATCCCGCGGCCGGAGACGGACGCTGGGAAATGTAGTGTTAGGGAGGATCCGATTATCTCGGTGCGTTGCGGCGAGTTCAAGTCCATCTTGAATGGGGCCATTTACCCATAGAGGGTGCCAGGCCCGTAGCGACCGTTGCGCGTATCGAGAGGATCTCTCCTCAGAGTCGAGTTGCTTGAGAGTGCAGCTCTAAGTGGGTGGTAAACTCCATCTAAGGCTAAATATGACCACGAGACCGATAGCGAACAAGTACCGTGAGGAAAAGTTGAAAAGAACTTTGAAGAGAGAGTTCAAGAGTACGTGAAACCGTTCAGGGGTAAACCTGAGAAACCCGAAAGATCGAAAGGAGAGATTCAATGTTATCGTTGTCTTCCATTTATTGGCGTGCGATTGACCGGGATTTGTCCTGCGATACGCCGTCGGTTTATGCGTTAGGCGGCGATGGCATGCACTTCTCTCTCAGTAGGACGTCGCGACCCATTTGGTGTCGATCTACGACCGCGGCGGTAGCCTGTCACAAATTTATTTGCGTCAGACCCCGCGTGCTCCGGTCGACTGCCAGACGGTATAAACGATATGGTATAGGGTCGCTTTTAAGCGTTCGGCCGGTTGCAAGCACGGACTATTATTGGCCGTCGGACCTGGTCCGGCATCGATGCCGCCTCGAGCTGTTAGCTGCCGTGTCCTCGGACGGACTCTATTACCGGTCAGCGATGCTATTGCTTTGGGTACTTTCAGGACCCGTCTTGAAACACGGACCAAGGAGTCTAGCATGTGCGCGAGTCATTGGGAAATACAAAACCTAAAGGCGCAATGAACGTAAAGGTTTGCTTAAGTAAACTGAGGGATGACAGACCGCATCCACGGATGCGTGCGTGCAATCCCGAGGCGTCTCACTCTCATTGCGAGAAGAGACGCACTCAGAGCGTACACGCTAGGACCCGAAAGATGGTGAACTATGCCCGGTCAGGTCGAAGTCAGGGGAAACCCTGATGGAGGACCGTAGCGATTTTGACGTGCAAATCGATCGTCGGAACTGGGTATAGGGGCGAAAGACTAATCGAACCATCTAGTAGCTGGTTCCCTCCGAAGTTTTCCTCAGGATAGCTGGCATTCGATGAGCGAGTCTCATCCGGTAAAGCAAATGATTAGAGGCCTTGGTGCCGAAACGACCTCAACCTATTCTCAAACTTTAAATGGGTGAGATCTCTGGCTTGCTTGAATAGTGAAGCCAGAGATTTGGATCAGAGTGCCTAGTGGGCCATTTTTGTTAAGCAGAACTGGCGCTGTGGGATGAACCAAACGCCGAGTTAAGGCGCCTAAACGACGCTAATGGGATACCATGAAAGGCGTTGGTTGCTTAAGACAGCAGGACGGTGGCCATGGAAGTTGGAATCCGCTAAGGAGTGTGTAACAACTCACCTGCCGAAGCAACTAGCCCTGAAAATGGATGGCGCTGAAGCGTCGTGCCTATACTCGGCCGCCAGGGCATGAGAAACGTTCATAATAGTTCGTTTTGACGCCCTGGTGAGTAGGAGGGTCGCGGTGGTGTGCGCAGAAGGGTTTGGGCGTAAGCCTGCCTGGAGCCGCCATCGGTGCAGATCTTGGTGGTAGTAGCAAATACTCCAGCGAGGCCCTGGAGGACTGACGTGGAGAAGGGTTTCGTGTGAACAGCCGTTGCACACGAGTCAGTCGATCCTAAGCCCCAGGAGAAATCCTATGTTGATGTTCGTGTATTTTATTTTGAATAAAATTTCACACCCATCGGGCGAAAGGGAATCCGGTTCCTATTCCGGAACCCGGCAGCGGAACCGTTTACAAGTCGGGCCCTCGCAAGAGAGTTCGTCGGGGTAACCCAAAATGACCTGGAGACGCCGTCGGGAAATACGGGAAGAGTTTTCTTTTCTGTATGAGCGTTCGAGTTCCCTGGAATCCTCTAGAAGGGAGATAGGGTTTGGAACGCGAAGAGCACCGCTGTTGCGGCGGTGTCCGTATCTTTCCCTCGGACCTTGAAAATCCAGGAGAGGGCCACGGTAGGTGTCGCGCCGGTTCGTACCCATATCCGCAGCAGGTCTCCAAGGTGAAGAGCCTCTAGTCGATAGATAAATGTAGGTAAGGGAAGTCGGCAAATTGGATCCGTAACTTCGGGATAAGGATTGGCTCTGAGGATCGGGGCGTGCCGGGCTTGGTTGGGAAGCGGGCGTAGGCCGATGTGCCGGGCCTGGGGGAGGTGAAATTGTTCTTGTGACTTAGATCCGAGCTCGGTCCCGTGTCTAGGCCCCCCGCGGATCTTTCTTGCTGCGAGGTTTCTGTGCCGGCTTCGGTCGGTCAGTCGTACTCTTCGGCCGCCATTCAACGGTCAGCTCAGAACTGGCACGGACTAGGGGAATCCGACTGTCTAATTAAAACAAAGCATTGCGATGGCCCTAGCGGATGTTGACGCAATGTGATTTCTGCCCAGTGCTCTGAATGTCAACGTGAAGAAACTTAAGCAAGCGCGGGTAAACGGCGGGAGTAACTATGGCTCTCGTTAGGTTGGAGACGCTTGCCCACCTCCTCGTGGTTCCAGCCGGGCGTCGATGGAGCGACGCTAGTGAGTGTCTCGCCACCGACGGCTAAGAGGCAAAGCGAAGGTTGAGAGAAGGGTAGGCCCGCTGTCTCTCATCCGAGTCGTAACATAATCGACCAGTCTAGCTGGCACGAATCTATTGCCCCACTAAGCCATCTAGCAGGGCTTCACAGGGGCTCTGTCTTCACTATATGGATCCGGCGGTGCCGGTATCCCCTATTTCTTATATTCAACACCTCGATGGCGGGAGTAGTGCCCCGCCACTATGAGGTGGCTCTTATAGATATAGACAATGGCAACTTTGCCACAATACCTTGAATCTCAT